GGTTTTAGATAATTCATTTACATATTATGTATTTATTAGTATTTTGGTATGTACCTGTAAAATAAAATAAATAGAAATATTTAAAAATACAAAATATTATAAATAATACAAATGAAATATATATCAATTTTACAAATGATAAATATAGTATTAAACTATAACTATAAAAACAGGAAAAATAGAATATTATAAAACTAATTTTATGTATAAATATTAATATACTTTAAATAATAATTAATAATTTTTAAGAAAATAATAGTATATTTAAAAAAAATATATCTGGATCCAAATATCTAGACTTAAAATTAAGATATCTAGATCCGATCCATTCTAAATATTTGATTTTTGTAATAAATATAGAGCAAAATTTTTAATAGGATCCAGATTGTGGATAATAATTATACCCTAGACATAATTTAATATACTTATTAATTTGTTTGCATAAATACAAAATACACGAACTTGTAAGCTACGATAAAGAGTTGTTTTTATCATCTATAAATAATAAATATTGAAGAAAATAATTGTGTAATAGAGGATTTAGTATGACTTATACGACATCTATTGGCAATCTGGTATTGCATTATTTGTAAAAAACAAAAAAAAAAACAAATTGTTTCTTTTTTTTTATACAAACGATCAAATTACTTTTTCTAAATTATATAGTTTAATTCAGTAATTTTTTCAACAAAATTGTTGTATTTTTCCTTTCACGTATATATTTATATTGTTATAGTGAATGTATATGTATTTATTTGCTTATGAATTTAAAGCTCTGACTTAATTCAACGTGCAGGATTTTTTCACATGGCACCACACTGTAACTAATAATATACCTACGTGGCTCGCAATTCGCATGTGCATTGCACTTCCGCGAACATTTCCCTTTCTATAGTCTAAAATCTAAATTGATATTCTCCTTTTTATGTTCTTTTCTCTTTCGGAATTTCGTTTCGCCTTGATATTTTTTTTTCACATTTCTGAGCTGCTACGTACATTCATATACATAAGACAGAAAATAAATAGGAATTTAATGTGTATAGCTATAATAATTAATGTTATCCACAACATGTGTAAGAGTTCGAGTTTTGTTTCAGCTACAAAATAAATCATAAATTACTACGGGTACGGGATACATATGTATACAGTCTATACAAAAAAAAAAAGCAAATTGTAGATGGCTGTATTGCTTAGTTTATATGTATATTTAACAAGTATTTTGTGAGTAGTTGATGTTATCTCTGTCTTTGTTATAGCTGGTAAAGGAAGATTTCTTTGTATTTTAATTAGTTGGTAACAGTTGAGAGTATTAGGTCAGTATCTAGGTCTAATTGGTTAAATTATTAAATAACATTAATTACCACCAAATTAATTAAAACAAATAACTCATTAATCACTTTTATTGAATACCAAGGTCCGGATTTTAGTGATAGTTGTAATAAGAATGGTCCAGTGAATGATTCGTAGATATTAGTAGTATTTATGGTCATAAAAGATTTGTTTGATGGGTCGACACGATACCAAATTAAGTAAATGGAACCCTTTAATTAATAGATTAATAAATATGGAGATTAGTCCATGGTTCAATTGCATAAATGTAGAACTGATTGATATTGTATTATCCTATACTTTCAACGAAATATAAAACAGCACAAAATTTATAGAATCATTATAATAAACACATACCAACTATATTTGGATCGGTGTCGTCGGTAACTAGTATTAAAATCTTAAGTTAGCGTGTTTAGGTTAGCGATCAACATCTACAAGTTGAATGAGTCAGTATAATCTATTTTGTTGGTAGTACTTAGGATTTATCTCAAGTGTATTATCCACAAAATATTAAGGAAAACTAAAAAATATACTGGACGCAGAAAAGAACACGTAGAGTGACAATTTGTTTTTATTAATAAGTTTGTCTGCATCATCCACAAAATATTAAGGAAAACTAAATAATATACTGGACGCAGAAAATAATACGCAGAGAACAATTTTGTTATAATTAGTTTATGTTTATGTCTTATGTTTATCTGTTATGCGTGTAAGTTTGTCGCTTGGCCGATTGGGGCATTTCACTTAAGACATTAAGTGAGGTAATACGAGTTATTCAATTTTTTTAAAAAGGTAATACGAGTTAATTTTGTTAGTGATTACGATGTCGTTAGTTATGTATAATCAGGCAGGTCACGAGCCCGCCCCAGTATACACTTTGTGTACAAAGTAGTCTATTAGTAACTTAGTATGATTTCATTTCTTTTTTCTCCGACCTAGTACGACCATTAACTATGGAATTTTTTTTTTCACTAGAATTAACTATGCAATTTTTAAACATGAAGTTCAATATTAAATACTGTATATATACTTTTTATCGCTTTGATCAATACATATATTAAGGATGTATATATGTCGATTTTTCTTCTCTGTATCTTATTAAAAAAAATTTCCTTGCAAAGGGATTACACACGTACTAATGTAATGACCCTAGTAGACAATATAAACATATCACGTGAACCACCTCTAATTACTTTTTTAACATTCGTTAGTAGTCACTAACGCGTCTCAAGACAGCTCATCATATTCCAAACTTGGTTAGAATCCCATAACTTTTTAACGCTTTTTAATATTTATCTTCATATAAATATCTTTCTTTTTATATTCGTCTCATTGAAGTCTTGGATATCTTTATAGTTTATACTATAGCATATACTGTAGAGAATCAGATTCAACTATATCAAACGAAATCCATTCACTGCTAAGTGCTAATTGATGGTTAAATGATAGTCCATCTATTGTTACGACTTACGGGTGAGTGAAGATAACAAAATGTTCAGACTTCAATGTAAACTCTTTTTAATGGAACTAAAGAGAAATGTTATTCTATTCCTATTTTTAAAGTAAAATTAGAAACTATGAACAAAATTTTTTATTACTCCATATTTGAAGTAAAATTATTGTTTACTTATTGTTATTTGCTAAATTGTCTATATGTTTAAACCTCTATCCAATCTGGTCTGATTTATATGGGGAAAAAATCTCTTTTAGTTATAATTTTATTTTGGAATAAAAAAATACAGTAGACTAAGTTGAACATTCCCTAAGAACAAGAAATAAGCTAAATCGGATCACAGCTTTCAGATTGATTATGAGATTTGGAAACTGTACAGCGTATACTAAGCCAAATGGTTAAGCTTGTGAACCAAAGCCACAGGTTTTCCTTGCTGTCAGCTGCTGTGTTTGATTTCGACAATAGTTTGATGTTGACTTCTTTTCCTCCCCAACGATTTTAATTTTAAAAGCTAGGCAGACAAAAAGTTTTAAAATATTAATATTTGATTGACGCAATTTTGTAATATATATAATATATTATATGTATGCATACTTACAAAATTTTATTCGGTTGAACTAATTATAAGTTGCTTATTTAGTTTAAAATGGATAAAATGGGTAGGTAGACAGTAATTAGATGATATACCTAATGGAATTAATTATTAATGTTATGTAAAGTTGAATCTATTCCGCTATTCGATCCTCTTTTAATAGAAAAAATGACCTCAATAATCATACTCGTTTATCCCTGAGGTTTCCTCTATTTTACAAAAAAAAGTCGTTATATCATTTTTAATATGATTTCCATTTTTAATTAAATTGAAAAGTCAATATTTATTTCTCAACTTTCGGTCCGTGGAATTGCTGTTTACAGACTGTGGAGTACAAACTTTACTCGCTGGCTTGTCTCTAAACCTTTTTTTTGTCTGTCTCTAAACTTACATGAATACAATTGCATGGATGGACCATATCGATGAATGAATACTCGTAATAGAAAAGCTGAAGTTGATAGTCCATTATAATTTCGTTAAGTGAAAGATAAGGATAACTGGCGGTGGAATAGACTCTTCAACCTTATTAATCTCTATTATTTGTCACCACTCTACGGTAGTTCCATTTATCAAATCACCTACCATTAACTTTCTATTATTTAGAAATTTTTAAATCTGATTAAAAACAGGTTTATTTATACAACTAAACTAATCATTCTCGATGTAATTCGTCAACGTAACAGAAATAAAATCCTGTCAGAATTCTAGATGTAAATAAATATATGAACTTAAAACTAGTAAGAGAAAAAAAAAACAATTTTGCTTACCTTTTAATTTATAATACACATTTCCATGGAAATCTTAATTTACTAAAGCACGTTACCAACATTAATGGTCTGTACTAGCTAATTTGTCACGACAAAATTTCCTACAAATTATATGAAATAAGGTTTATTGAAAATGTCGGAATGGCATAAGCAATTTTTTTTTGTCAGAAAGGGTTTTCATAATTGCAGATAGTAAATTATTATATGTAATATAAATAAAAAAAATAAATGATGATGTACTGATATTAGAAAATAATTTGTTAAACCTAAATTAAATTTAACATTTTTCCATATGTTTTGTAGTGGTATTTTTTTTTTGTTCAAATGTTTTGTAGTGGTATAAGCACTTATGTCCAAGTTTTCAAAAAGAAAAACAGTACGCCATGCACTGCACAGTAAAAAGTAACAATATTGGAATAGTTCTTTTTCGAAATTACTAACGTTCAGTAATAACAAAAAGACTATACAAAATAATACTGTGATACATTATACATAGTCTAATATAGACAACAATACAAGAAAAGCTATGACCATTGAAGTCTACGTTTGGAAAACGTCAATGCTTAGGTTTATTTGCTTCTGTCTTTCTATTAAATGACATTGTAGAGCAAGGAAACCACATGTGATACATATCATTGTTTGACTATCCTCGTAATAAGAATCTTGAAAAAACCTATTTAGAAAATAGGTTAGTTCATACGGATTTAGTATTTTATTTGGTTTCCACGTACACAGGTTTCGTATTTAATAGGGAATCTGTCTTGAAATTAAATAGAAATGAAAAAAAGGCATATACTGTAATATTTATTGGGGTCTATCAAAAATATATATAAAAAAAAAAGAAAGAGAAAGCGTTGTTTAAAGGAGAGCCTCTGCTACGTTTTAGGCTTTGAAGTGATACAGAAGGCATAGTTTATTTTCACCATCACCGTCACTAACACCATATAGCCCACCACCACTCTCTTCTCTCTCTCTGTAGAAACAAAGTTGATTCTGTGTTTTCTTTTATCAATCTGTTTGCTTTTGGAGATTCTGTTCCACTGCTGCATTTTGGAATTTACCGGTAAGTTTATTCAGATTTTACTCTGTTTTCTTCTTTTCATTCATCAAAATCAGAGTTACATTCATTCCTAGAAGCTTTTTGTATTTTCTCTGGATCTCTAGTGGTTGATTTGTGTAGATGGATCGTAAGAGTTGGCCATGGAAGAAGAAATCATCAGAGAAAGCTACTCTAGTCACTGACCAGGACCATGTACTTACTTCATTACTCTCAGATTTGGTTTCATTCAAATTCTATAAGATTTTGATTCTTGATTCTGAGATTCTTCTTTCTTGATTATTAAAAAAAAAAACAGGAAAATGGTAAGAAGACTAGCTACATACAGATCTCCTTTGATCAATACTCTCATTTCAATACTTTGAAAGACGATGTTCACAAGTACGAGGAACAAGTTTCAAAGCTACAAGATCAGATCAAGGAGTTAGATTCCAAACTATCTACAGCAAATGCAGATATTACTGACAAGGAGGCTTTGGTCAAACAACACTCCAAAGTAGCTGAAGAAGCTGTTTCAGGTATGATGATAATCAAAGTAACAAAGGCTTGATAGATTGTGTGGTCTCTTATTTTTTCTAACTCATTTTTTTTCAGGATGGGAAAAAGCTGAAGCAGAAGCTTCAGCTTTGAAAACGAATCTCGAAACTGTTACACTCGCTAAGCTCACCGTTGAAGACAGGGCTGCACATCTAGATGGAGCTTTAAAGGAGTGTATGAAACAGATAAGGAGTCTCAAGGAAGAAAACGAACAGAAGCTGCATGATGTTATTGTAACTAACACCAACCAAATGGACAAGATTAGAGATGAGTTTGAGTCCAAGATTGGTGAATTCGAGCAAGAACTGCTTCGGTCTGGAGCTGAGAACGACGCTCTCTCCAGATCATTGCAAGAGCGTTCCAACATGCTTATAAGGATAACCGAAGAGAAGTCCCAAGCAGAAGCCGAGATTGAGAAACTTAAGAACAACATAGAGTCTTGTGAAAGAGAGATCAACACTCTCAAGTATGAAACCCATGTGATCACCAAAGAGCTTGAGATACGCAACGAGGAGAAGAACATGAGCATGAGATCAGCAGAAGCAGCAAACAAGCAGTGTTTGGAAGGTGTCAAGAAGATTACAAAGCTGGAAGCTGAGTGTCAGAGGCTACGCACTCTTGTGAGAAAGAAACTTCCAGGTCCTGGAGCACTTGCACAGATGAAAATGGAGGTTGAGAGTTTAGGGAGAGGAGACTATGGAGACAACCATAGACAAAGGAGGTCACCTGCTAGACCTTCTAGTCCTCTCATGTCTCCAGTGTCACAGAACTCTGACTTCTCCTTTGACAATATACAAAAGTTTCACAGAGAGAATGAGTTGTTGACAGAGCGGTTACTTGCTATGGAAGAAGATACCAAGATGCTTAAAGAAGCTTTGTCAAAGCGTAACAGCGAGCTTCAAGTTTCTAGGAACCTCTGTGCTAAGACAGCAAATAGGCTTCAAACATTGGAAGCTCAAATGCATGCTAGTAATCCTTCTAGTATGGCTTCAATGTCTGAGGAAGGAAACGAAGATGGTAGAAGCATTGCAGGGTCTTTGATGTCTGAACTCTCTCAAACCAACAAGGATAAAAACAGTGAGAAGATTAAGAAGAATGAGAGTGCTAACAAGTTGGAGCTTATGGATGATTTTCTAGAGATGGAAAAGCTAGCTTGTCTACCAAGTGTTGATTCTGATGCTGAGATTCCACCACTGAAGAAAAGAATCTCTACTTTGCTTCAGTCTCTTCCCAAAGATGTTGCATATGAGAAGATTTTGGAAGAAGTACAGTGTGCCATTGTAGATGCAGGTGAAAAGGAGATAGCTATGTCAAATGAGACCACAGAGGATAAAGTTAGTCAAGAATTGGCTCATGCTCTTTCGCAGATTTACCACTTTGTTACCTACCTTGCGAAAGAAGCAACGTTGTGTAAGGACACATTTTCCCAAAAAGTTCAAGAGTTGTCTGTCACTTTGGACAGAGTGTTGAGTAAGGAGAAGACTTTGGTGGACTTTGTGTATGATCTCTCACGTGTTTTGGTAGAATCTAGTGACCTGAAAATCAACGTGGTTGGATTTAATGTATCTGAAGTGGAGATTCATAGTCCAGATTGTATTGATAAAGTCGCTCTACCGGAAAACAAAGCACTAAAAGATTCATCAGGTGAGCATTACCAGAATGGTTGTTCTCAGAGCTCTGATTCCGAGATTCCTGATGATTACGAACCCAAGCTCTCACCAGTTGCTTGTAAGTTTACATCAGAAGAGTTTGAAGGACTGAAACTCGAGAAAGAAAAAGCAGAGACCAACCTTGCAAGCTGTGAAGCAGATCTTGAAGCAACCAAGTCGAAACTACAAGAAACAGAACAGCTTCTTGCTCAAATAAAGTCAGATTTGGAATCTGCTCAAAAGTCTAATGGCATGGCCGAGACACAGCTCAAATGCATGGTGGAATCATACAGATCTCTTGAAACTAGATCATCAGAGATGGAAATAGAGTTGAGTTCTCTTAAAGGCAAAATCGAAGAGTTAGAAGATGAGCTTCATGACGAAAAGGAAAATCACCAAGAGGCTTTAACAAAATGCCAAGAACTCGAGGAGAAATTACAAAGGTATATTAAAACCAAACACTACTCTCTTTTGTTTACCATGAAGTAAGTCTCTTAACTTCTGTTTCCGACAAATCTCCAGGAACAACCAAAACTGCCAGACTTGTTCAGTAACTGAAGCTGATCCCAAAAGCAAACAGGACAATGAATTAGCAGCTGCTGCAGAGAAGCTACAAGAGTGTCAAGAGACTATATTACTTCTCGGGAAGCAACTCAAATCCATGTGTCCTCAAACAGAACAGGTTGCTTCTTCTCCAAGCCAAGAACAAGCCCTAAACACACAAGAAGAAAACGAATACACAACAACTTCCACAAATAATCAAGACAACAAATCAAGCTCATCTTCACCATCAGTGACTCCAATGAAATCTCCGGTAGGATCGAAACATAGACACACCAAGTCAAACTCATCATCATCATCCTCGTCGGGACTTACCCCTGAGAAACACTCTAAAGGATTCAGCAGGTTCTTCTCTAAAGCAAAGTAAAAGAAAGTACAAATCTAACTGAGTTTGTATATCGTTATCTATTGCTATATGTATACGGGTTTTTAATATGTAAAAAAACATCCGAATTGGATTAATAAGACAAGAAAAAAAAATGTTACACACAATTCTTTAAAGAATCACCAGCACCTTGAATGAAGAATCACTAAGTTTGACTTCCTGAACAATCAATCAATCTCTTTAAGTCAGATAATTCGAGAAACTCTACGATCATAAACTGACTATTCTACTACACTAACCTTAACTAGAGCAATTACCACTGGAAAATCAGTATGGTTGAAAAATAACAAAACATAATTTGGGCCAAAATGAAGCCCAATAGGTTTTATGCATCATCTTAACGCTACAGTATTTTTGTACCGCAAGAATATAAAATTTCATAAAACAGTCTACACTCTCATATTTCAAAAGTAACATACAAATAAAAAGTTAATATAAATTTTACACCTAAAGTATGAACCGAAAGTGTTACATTTACACACAAATACAAAACTAAAATATGATTAATTCACACAGGAAAAATAAAAAAACATATAACAAACAAATTAACGAAAATTTAAACTTTAATTAGCTATTACGTCACTATCACGATTCTCCTTGTGAAGCCTGAAGAAATAAGCAGCGGCGCTCAAGACAGCAGTGATCAACGCAACACCTCTGAACACATCAAACTCATCATCCATAAAATTAAAGAATATCACCACAAGAACCGACACGACCGGCCACGTCACAACACTGATCACATTCGACAACACGCTCGAGACAGAGAACACAAGCCCAACGATCCCAACCCAATAAACCTGCCACGAAACAGCTTGTCCCACCATAGCCATCACATACGCACCTTTCCCTTTAGAAAACTCATTCATCTCCCTCTTCAAATCATCCTGCTCCCCGGCGATGAGAAGCCCCACCGTTGAGATAACCGTAGCGACGAGGGAAGAGAAGATGATAACTTCGAAAACGGAGGAGAAGCTTGTCTTTCTGGTTGTTGTTGTTGACTCGGAACGTTTGAAGATGTAGTTGTCGAAGACGTTTTGGAAGTTACAGAGGAGGAGAGAGAAGCAAACTCCGGCGAAGAGAGCAGCCCATGAGCCTCTTGCGTAATTCTCCTCGGCTTCGTCAGGCTCCCCGCCGAAGCCGGAGGATAAGGTGAGAGCTCCGGTGACGATGGCTAAGGCCAAAGAGATTATAACCCATCTGTTGAACTTGATCTTGTTGATGAGACGTGCGAAGATGGGAGTGAAGAGGAGCTGTGTTGTGTAGATGAGAGTGAAAACACCAAAAGGGATCTCGAGTTTTCCCATGGCGGAGAGTCTTGCTTGGACCGACATGACGATACCTATGCATATGTAGATTATGGTAAGAGATTTGTAGTGGCAGTTGTTGTCGCAAGTTTGGTTGTGGTTCTTTTTGGTGAGGATGATGAAAGGGAGGAGGAGGAGAGGGAATCCAACGGTTTGGAGGAGAGCTTGAGTCCATACGCCGTCGTTTTGACGGGATTCGTCGTACTCGCTTCGGTTGATTTGGTCGTAGTAGAAGTTTTCGAGGAGTTTGGCTATGGTTTGACCTAGGAGGACGAGGATGGTTGAGAGGATGATTGTTGGCCAGTGGTTTGGTTTCCGGTTTGTGTGGTTTATGAGGTTGGTTGAGTCACGCTCGATGTTTATGGGAATCTGCACAAAATGTTCTGCAAAAAGAGAAAGAGGAATATTGAGAGATTAGAATCAAATTATTCGTTCAAGAAGAGTAAAATTGTTTTTAATTTTTTATTGTTATTACCTTGTGGTTTGGTCTGAAAGATTGGTTGATTCTGAGCCATGGTTTGGAACTGATTGTCGGAGATTTGTAAGATGTGTTGAGTTCAATGAATTGTCGGAGATCGGGTTTGCGTTGTTGTGATGTGTTTTGAAGTGATTGATGATACGATTGATTTGAGATAAGGAAAGAGATTAATATATATATGCAGAAGAAGTCTAGTCGGCGGCGTAATGGTCAATTAGCTCATGTCTACGCGTCGTTGTTCGAATTTTTCCGCGTTGTTTCGTCAGTCGTCGTCACCAATATAATACTAAACCACTTACAAATGGTACGTTGATACTTGAAACTAATGAACTAATTCTCTAGTCCTAACAAAATTATATGCAATAATCGACAAAAAAAGATGAGTTGATATTCATCATTTTTCTTTTGTGTGGTCAACGATATTCAGAATTGGATTTACGATTCGGTTGTTAGATAAATCACATTTTTTAAGGAAATGACATAACAAGAAATATATATTGCTCGTTTCTTTTGTTTTTTCATGGGAAATAAAAGATTACGGGATTATCCAACTTTCTACGTTACGGGGATTGTTCAATTAAACACGGTGACCATTTAGGCAGCCCCTGTGACATATTAAAATATCTTAAATGCGTGTCCTTCTTGTATTTTTATACTCTTTAAGAATTCTGATATCATCTTCGCACCAATATTGCATTCTTTTTGGTACCTTCAAACTTAAGACATCTCTAATAATTATATTATACTTTGAAAGGTGAACTCCATTAATCCTATACAAAGGTTCTTTGTTGCACTCAAAAACAGGTTAATTTTTTCCACTACCATGGATAATCTGTGGTAACTACTTGGCAAATCAAGAACTCGGATTAAATGTTATAACTCAACGCAAACATCAATCATTTGCAAGACAAATGAATCTCTGGAGATGATTTGGATATAACAACTGACAAGATAATAAGTGACTAAATAAAGAAAGACACTTCCTTTGGTGCTCCTTTGACAATTTTATTTTTATAATTCAGTCTATAAATTACACTTTAATTGAACGCAATAGCCGCGTTTAAACATTAAAACGCCCCCACACTGTTTCTACGACGCGCAAGTCATTAGACCCTTGACTTTTTAAGCTTTAAGGCTATGCAGCCAATGTTGATGCATAGCCTAAGTAGCAAAACCTAACCTGTGTCAATAGATTCAAGAAGTCAAAGCAACTAACACTAACCAACCAAACACTCATCATCTGCACCAATTTTCGACATGTGTTTAGAGTTTATATATTCATCATCGGTGTAACAGCTTCAGTACTAAAACGCTATGGGGCATTGAAACTCTGATCAAGCAAACTTCACTAGATAGCAGGTTTGCAAGCTTTTCAATGAAATGCCAACTCGAGAAGCGTGATTAAGAACTATACTTGCATCAGTAGAATCATAGACTATCCGAGATGGTATTTTCAGTGACAGTCTGTTAAAATGCTATATTGCTATCTAAAAATATTTTCTTAATCACAGTTTATATGACATTGTGTGGTCCTACCATTGTGAGGCAATCAAGGATTTGGCACTGAAACTCCGGTTAAGCAAACTTTTTTAAATAGCATTTTAACAGGCTTTCAATGATATGCCAACCCAAGAAGCATCACAAGACTATTATTTACTCATAGATAGAGGCAATCAAGTAAAACATTTTTTTTGATCAATCCAAACTATACGATCCTATGAAACATCTCTACCGTCAAGCACCTCTGTTTCTAAAATTCTTTACAAAATTTTATCTGTTGAGGAGGAGAGGAAGACAGTGTAAGCCACAAATGAGAGATTAAAATTTGATGACAAATCTTTATTGTAAATTAAATAAAATCTTATCTGTTGATAAAAAGACATTTTATTCTCATTCGTGCATATGACCAGTGATTCGTTATGATTCTTCTTTTTGTTGGAAGAAAATAAAAGAATAGAAGTCGAAGAGTGGAATCGAACTTGGGACAACGGATACCCTCTTTCTTCTGCATTTTTCATCAATATTCCCATTAAATAAACATGGAGTATTTACATACAGAAAAATAGTAACGGCCAAGGCACTAACGACACTGACATATAAAAGCTTGGGGATCTAATGAGATTAGGTACCCCAAGTAATTCGTAATCGGTTTCGAATTAGATACGTTAAAACAATTAAACTAATCAATCGACGTAGACTAGACTTACTAGTAGACAAGATGCTTGCACCACTTTAAGAAGGGAGATTGTTCCTGTAAAGATTCTTGGTAGAGTAATTAACTAATTAACCACTAAGGTACGACTTAAACTCGATTTGAGCAGTCTTTTTAACCAGATAACCACGTAATATATCACCCTCATATGTTTTCTTTAATGGATGAGGTAACTGATACTTAGTACGTAGCATGGCTTGAGTAAATTTAGTTGAAGTTTGAAAGCTCCAAATTGAAATCCAGTGCTACCTTCAAACTTTTCTTACTAATATGGGCACCACACCAGCTAGGAAACGAAACCAGTTTAGGAAAGTTGCTATAGTGCTTAATTAGTTATCTTCGGATATATGATTCGTTGACGAATATGATTCTATTTTCAGACCACGACTTCCCTTTGAGTGGAAAAGAGAATGTGCTACTTGCAATAACGTGTATTCTGTGATATTTTTTCTAAAAATTCGTAACCACTAACGTAACCTTTTCTTTCATCATAAATACTCGTCAAATGTGTAAGCTATGTGTTGCAGTAGTCATCTATCTCTTTACTTCTTAGCGCAAAAAAAAAGAAGCTATCTCTTTACTTCACGAGCTTCTTAATTAAACTTGCTCTGCGTCCTTTGAGATCATCTTAGTCTAAGAATGGTATTATCAACATTTTTTGTTTTGCACCCTTCCTGTTTGTTATAATATTCCAAGCTGATATTGCAGTTATGATTATGTGAGATTAACTTGAAGTTGTTGTTGCAGAATGTTCAAGGAAAGCCTGCATCAGTTGGCCCATGGGGAGGCCAAAGTGGTCATGCATGGGATGATGGAATGTTCACCAATGTAAGGCAAATAGTTATAGCACATGGTTATAGTATAGACTCCATCCAAGTTGAGTATGACAAGAATGGTACCTCGGTTTGGTCTGAAAAACGTGGAGGAAAGGGAGGCATTAAGGTTGATAAGGTAAGACAAATAAATTCTCTACCCCTTCAGATAATCTTTGTAGTTTTCAGAAACTGATTACCGTTCTTCGTGTTTGTTTAGGTCAAACTTGATTACCCGCATGAGTATTTGATTGCAGTACAAGGAACCTATAGTGCATTTGACGTGTGGGGCAATCTATGTATCCGGTCGATTACATTTGAGAGTAACCGCAAAAGATATGGACCATTTGGTGTTGAGTCAGGTACATACTTCTCAATGCCAAAATCAGACTCGAAGATTATTGGGTTTTATGGAAAATCTGGTTGGTATTTGGAGGCTATTGGTGCTTACATTCAACCAATTCCTAAAGAGACTAATCCCACGTCGAAAGTTGTCTTACACCCACCTCAAAATGTCCCCCATGGTGATAAGAAACTCGAGCACTCAGGAAATATAGGCCAAAACTTAGATGTAGTTGCTGGACTCAAACAGAAAGATTCAGCTTTACCTTCTCTTCAAGGTCAAGCAGGTGCTGAGATCAACAAAAATAAGGTGATTATTTCAAGATTTTTTACTTTATACATTTTAGGTCTTTCTAATATTTACCTTTTATTTTTGTGTGTATCAGTTGGTGAAAGATACTGAGAAGTTGCAGCCAAAAGCTGGAGGTGGTGTGAAAATACATGGACCATGGGGTGGAATCGGTGGTATCATGTTTGATGATGGGATATATACTGGTATTAGACAAATCAATTTGTCACGCAGTGTCGGGATTGTATGGATGAAAGTGTGCTACGACTTTAAAGGACAAGCTGTGTGGGGAAGCAAGCATGGTGGCAGGGGAGGATTAAGACATGATAAGGTGTGTTAAGTTGAAACCATTTTTTTATTTGGTTTGTTTAAGCTAAATTGCTCTTTATATACCACAATCTCACTGTTTAATCTTGCAGATTGTATTTGACTACCCATCAGAGGTTTTAACACATGTAACGGGAACATATGGACCGTTGATATACATGGGACCTAATGTGATAAAGTCACTGACGTTCCACACCAACAAAGGAATACATGGACCTTATGGAGAAGAACAAGGACCTTCGTTTACACATAAAACCGACGAGGGTAAAGTTGTCGGATTCCATGGAAGAGAGGGTTTGTTTCTTGATTCGATTGGTGTTCATGTTATGCCATGCAAAATAAGTCCCTTTAAGCCATCTCCTCACAATGCAACTGTTACTCATAATAACACTGGCGTAGGGGCTAATAAGCTAGCTCTTGCAGTAAACGGCCATGGCGAAAAGGTAGTTACATATCTATCTGTTCAGCTTCAAGATCTTTTCAGTTTTCAGTAGAACCTTTATAAATTAATATTCCATAAATTAATATACACTAAATATCTATATAAAATAATACAATTTATAGTCTCAAATTGAGTTTTGGGTTCGATTTGTATATTTATAAGTTAATATCTCTTTAAATTAATAAAAAAATAAAATTTTGATGTAATCCTAACATTCTTAGTTTATAGAAGATTCTCTGTATTTGGATTTTAACACCTTTATAGCAGCTTACCTGTTGGGTTTAAATCATTTTGACAGTTTGAGCGTGGAGTCTTGAAAGAATCAACACCCAACGGGTCTGGACCATGGGGAGGCAACGGAGGTAAACCATGGGACGATGGTGTATTTTCAGGGATCAAGCAGATATTTGTAACTAGAGGAAAGGATGCTATCTCTTCATTACAAGTCGAATACGATAAGAATGGACAATCAGTTTGGTCCAATACACATGGTGGTAATAGTGGAGTTGCCACACACAGGGTAAGATGAAGGAAATGTGGATAATATGTAGTTTTTTGCTAAATAAGAGGCGGACGTGACATAAACAACAAGATTCTTAGTGCCACTTTTTGATGCATCATAAATGATACCCATTTTAAATCTCTCTTGCAGATTATACTCGAGTATCCAAACGAGACGCTCACCTGCATTTCAGGGTATTACGGACCACTGAACAATTCAGACAAATCTATTGTTGTCAAGTCTCTGAGTCTCTACACGAGCCGTGGTAAGTACGGTCCGTACGGTGAGGAGACGGGGACGTTTTTCATTTCGACTAAAACACAAGGGAAAGTGTTGGGGTTACATGGAAGAAGCAGCTCTTACTTGGATGCCGTTGGAGTTCATATACTGCAGCGGCTTGGTGACAATAATAAGGATCAGATCAACAGGACTTCCTGTTTCAAGCGCTACTGAAAATCTTGTCGACACGTGAAATAAACATGCGCCTAATCGCATTTAGTTTCCTTTCCAGTGAAAAACATTGTTCTATAAACGTGATAAATATGAAAAACTAGAGAAACAAGAAGAGTGTGTAACATAAAACGAATAAACATTGCTATTTCCTTGCGTGTTGCAACACTTCTCTGAGCACAGAAGCTATTCGATGAGACATGTGACGTTCCCTAATCGTAAGCTATTCATCGTCATCTTATATTAGTACATCTTTGTTTAAGAACTTATCTTAATTATATAATTCATTTTGCAAAATTGTAATCATAACCTTTTTAAAAACAAGGAAACAGACTATGTTACATTTAATACATCCCTTACCAGCTAACTGCCTATATTTATGTTTAATAAATCAACATCCACGTGGGAGCAAAGTCAATATAATCAATCATCTCTCAAAGACTCAAAACTTATGAATAATTTTCCAGCACTATATGGATCTTCCCAAATGATTTTGTGTCGGCTGCTCGAATCCAGTCTCCAACAAACCGAAACGGAACTTATTTGTTTTACTTTTTATTATACCAAAAAAATATTATTAAGAAAATAAAATATTAAAAACTATAAACTAGTGTAGCTACAAGGAAAAAAAACGTATTCTGCATTACTGAATATACAAATACAAACATAAAATGGATCGAATATCTAGGTTTAACCCTTGTTCAAAAAGTCGCCCGCCGAGACGATTAATCGTCCGAGTTTACGTGATACGGGTGGACAACGTAGCGAAATAACTCAATTCGGTGGCCTTACGCGATTGACCGAGTAATGAGCGTGGTCTACGTAGAAGTAGAAAATGCGGCCGCTTATTGAACAAAATCGCCTTGTACAAAATTGTTGATTCCTCAGTGAACTTGATTCTTCTCAATTAACTACATGAAAACTCAAATCATAACTCAAAGATCCCTGTACCCATTAAATTAAGAACACCGGATGAAGCAAAACATGAGCGCCAGATCTTACCTTAGTTTTTTTTTGTTGCTTAATTCTCATCTTAATTTCGCAACCTCGTTCTAACAATTCAACTAACGAGAAGCCATTCCGGTGTTTCATCCGTTGTGATAGTTGGCGGAAGCTGGTATAGAATTTTTGAGGAGAAGACTTTGGACTTAAACATATGCATTTTTGTCTCTGTCTGGTAATCAGGCTTATATTTAGACATAATTCAAAATGTAATAGATAGGTTTCTATATCTCGAGAGAAGAAGAAGAGAGGTCATTGACACGTGATGTCATTATCTAAATAATACGTGACAACTATAATTATATCAATGTAAATTTGCATATTGACCCTCAAAAGTTTTTATTTGGGTATTTGAACGCAATATTTGAGTTTTTATAGATGTTTTCCAACAATATATTATTTTGTATTAGATATGAATAAAAAGAAATATAATTATATTTTTAATCTAATTTGGTATATATATACAAATCTATGAAGCTTGGTAACAATGATGTTTTATACATAAAATTTTGTATTATACATATAAATAGAGAATATATATATAAATATATAAAAAATTCTGCCCCGCGTACTCCCCGATTATTTTCCGATTTTTGAATAAATCGCTAGGCGCCGTCACGCCGCACGCGTAGCGCCTAGCGAGTTTCCGAACAAGGGGTTTAACTAGCTAAAACGAAATGAAAAAGACAAGAAAATTTATACCAAAAAAGAAAAAGACGAGAAAATAGAAATAAAAAGAGCTATAAAAAATAGGTATAACAGAAGAGCAAGGAAGGACTCACCAACTGGTTGTTAAGTCATTTAATCCTTCAGTTAAGCAATTGAACAGACACACACCCACCTTAGTTTTTTTTTAATCTTCTTCCTTAAACCAGCTTCTCAGGGGCAGTTTTGTAGTTTAAGTTTCCACATATATATAGTGACGTTTCTACGTTTCATTTGATGGAGTTTAATTTCGGCTACCATGTATATCATATATTTGTTATATATATAGAAAAACGAATTGAAAAATGAAAATGAATGATGATCTAAAACGTTAGCTACACTAACTTATAGTATTTTTGGAAGTATGATCAGTATCTTACTATTATGAGTCAAGTCAATAACAACACATCATCATCCATTTGTTTCATAATCAATATAATAATTTTTTAAAGGTCTTCACCACAGTTACACAAAAAAGGGTCTTCACCGGAAGGTTATTACAGAAAAGTATCATAATATTATCCCTAATCTTATGTTAAAAGTATATTATCCCTAATCAAAAAAGAAGGGAATTAGTGATTTTAAGCTGTCACGTGTTTATCTAGCAGTGGTTGGCACCAAAAAAATAATTTAATTAATTTATAGTTAGGCATAAGATACAGAAGCTTCTGCCGGGAAAGATTAAAAAATACAAGTAGCGGTTGCCAAAATTTCCTGGTAGTGTCATTATTATATTGTTGATACTGCTAAACAGCTTAAATTTTTGAAATTGGGTTGGTGTTTGTCTAATGTCCCAATGATAAGATGAGTTGGTTTTTGTTCTTGTGGAGTCAATCTTTTTGTTTATTTCAGAGTATTCCAATAATCACCTCTCTTGGGTCTCAAAACCTTTTTTTTTTTGTCTTCAACTGTTGGAAACTCTTCTCTTTTGTGTTTCCTGATATAGCTGCCACCCACATCCAAAGTCCAAACTCACAATAATCTCTCTCTTTTTTTCTAGGGTTTTTTTAAAAGTTTCAGTTTCTCTTGCAGGTAATTTATAACTTTAATCCAAATTCTTGGTTCCAGACTCTTGATTTTCTATGGTTCATCTCCCCTGCATTTCTTGTTTCCTATTTATTTTCGTCCTTCCTTTTTGAAATATGAAATCATCAAAAGGACTTTTTTTTTATGTATGTAATAATTGTTCTTCTCTGTTTTTTGAGTGCTTTCGAGTCACTGCTACACTTCTTTTACTCTGCATTTTTTCTTCCTGTCTTCAAACTAAGGTTTCTGTATATCCAAATGAATCTCAATAGATCGGAGTTACTATTTAACGATTGCAAAATTACTGAATTGGGTTTTCTGGGTTTCTTTAGTTCTTGACGAAAAAACACTTACTTTATCAAGAATTTTGACTTTAATCCTCGAAAGTTTGTTGCTTTCGAAACTGTTAATGCTAAAAAAAGTGTTTGGTATGAGAGATTACGATGTTTTAACCTCTCCACTTAGATTTCTCCAAAATCTTTTCTTTTTTTTCTAAACTCCACCTTACACGACTCTTCCTCTTTTTTTTTGTTTTTTTTTGCAGGAACTCATTTTCCGACCAAACTCATCGAGTTAAGACATAACTGTAATAAAATCTCCGCAAATTCTGTTAATGAACGAAAAAACCATGGCGGTTTATTACTCAAGTAATGTCAATTGTTACCAGCAAGAACCAATCTATCTCAACCACCATCATCATCAACAACAACCTTCCTCCTCCTCCTCCGCCGCCGCCGCATCTTTCACCGGCGGCGAGAATGTTCGAAACGAGATGGTTTTCATTCCACCAACCACCGGAGGAGAAGTACAAAACCTCAACGGAGAAGTTCCCGTTTCGAGCAGCGAGTTAACTTTCCACGACGACGGTCAAGGACTATCTCTAAGCCTCGGCACTCAAATCTCTCTCCCTTCGTTTCACTATCATCAATACCAATTAGGTACTTTTACACCAAACCCTTCAATAATCTCTGTCAAAGAAACGCCGCCGTTTAGCAAAGAGATGTTGTTGTTTGGTCAATCTGATCTTTCCACCGGTTATGCGAGAGGATACGACAATTACCGGTTTAACGAAACATCAGGAGCGTTTACGCTGCGTTCTCGGTATCTTAAACCGGCTCAGAGTTTGCTTGAAGAAGTGGTTAGTGTCAAGAAAGAGCTAAACAAGAAGAAGAAAGGTGAAGACTTTAACAATGGTTCCAAGGATACAACGGTATCGAGTGATTCTAATGGGAAGTCAATAGAGTTATCTACAAAGGAACGTGAAGAGCTTGATAGCAAAAAGAACAAGCTTTTAACAATGGTTAATGAGGTAGTTATTTTTAACTAACTCTCATCTCTTATAACTCAAGTTAATTAATTAACTTTTGTGTTAATGGTTATAGGTAGATAAAAGATATAACCAATATTACCATCAAATGGAAGCATTAGCATCATCATTTGAGATAGTAGCAGGGTTTGGATCAGCTAAGACTTACACAACAGTGGCTCTCAACAGAATCTCTTGTCATTTTCGCGCTCTTCGCGACACGATTAAGGAGCAGATTCAGATCATCAGAGACAAGTTGGGGGAGAAAGGAGGAGAGTTTTTATTAGATGAGAATCAAGGAGGAGAGAGGATACCAAGATTGAGGTATTTGGATCAAAGGTTGAGACAGCAGAGAGCTTTGCATCATCAGCTTGGAATGGTTAGACCATCTTGGAGACCTCAGAGAGGTTTACCTGAGAACTCTGTCTCTGTGCTTCGCGCTTGGCTCTTTGAACATTTCCTTCATCCGTATGTGGTTTCTTCTCTCACAAGTCACATCCTTTTTGTTTACCCTTTTAAGTATGTTTTCTTCTGTTTGTTATGTGTAGATACCCAAAAGAATCTGAGAAAATGATGCTTGCAAAACAAACAGGACTGTCCAAAAACCAGGTAAACTGAGATTTGTTTTCTTGTCTTTCCTTAAAATTGCAATCTTTGTGTTCTGCTTGAATCACTCTGGTCTCTGTGCTATGTAATTAGGTTGCTAACTGGTTCATAAACGCGAGAGTTCGGCTATGGAAACCAATGATTGAAGAGATGTATAAAGAAGAGTTTGGTGATGCGTCTGAGTTACTAACCTCCAAGTCTTCTCAAGATCCCAACAGCACCAACCAAGAACACTCCTTGTCTCAGCAGCAGCAGCAGGAGAACAATAACAACAACAATAGCAATCTCACTTATTCATCTACAGAACCTAAACAAGACCCTACTTCAGGCAATAAAGATGACCCACAACAACAACAACAGACGAACCGGTCAGCTGATTACGACACACTAATGAACTATCACGAGTTTGGTCTTGATGGTTATCGTTACATTGGAGGAAACAACCAGCAAGAAAGCAGATTCTCCAATGGACATCACTTGCACGACTTTGCTGTTTGATGATACCATCCTTGGAACAGAGGACATGATTCTTGAAGGGCAAGGAATGTGCTTCTTGCATTTTTATAGATAGGCATATATAATACACGCATATCAGTGGCGTATAAAGTAGATGTCTAGTAGGTTGCTTTTGTGTATAGCTACACTTGTAACGCCAAATAATTGATGTGTGTGTATAAGATTCACGGTGGTGCAAAAGTGTGAACACCGCTTCATTTTACACGGGGAGATAAAACTTTTGACTTTAATTTTGATGCTGGGTCCATATTGTTGACGTTAACTTCTGAACCTACGAAACAGTCTCCTAGATCCCACTCATGTCACTATCTTTTGAAGTGTGAGTTCGGGTATGTGATTAAGAGTGGATTAAAAATGATTTAGGGACAAAGTAGATCGAAAATCTCATTTGTATCAGAAGTAAATCGAAGTGAACAGAGATGAACTACAAATAAGCGAAGAGGTCCAAACCATGCTTCACACTCTGCGAAAATGGGAGATGGAACTAGTCTTCTTCTTCCCATTATCGTCTGTATGTGATATCATTCTTTCGTTTTCAAGGTTCATTTTGTATTGAATCCTTGGGTTTTCGTCAGTGTTTTGATCTCCTCTATGGGGTTTTTACATTGCAGTGGAGATGCCTAGTGTGTTACTTTCTGGCAGCACTGAAAAAAATGTTCAAATAGTACGGTTTTTATAGTGTGTAGTAATATAACTTTATTGGGTTACTGGTCGTGTAGGCAAGGCTAAGTATGCACCAAGTGGTGAAAGAGATGATGGAAAAAATTGGTTACGAGGTAATAAGGTGATGTTTGTTTCACCATCTATCATCTCCATCGAACTAATCCATCTAGATGATTCATCTAGATGGTCCATCTACATTTTTGAGATTGTTTGTTTGTCCATCAAGATGGTTCATCTCGATGGATCATCTAGATGGACTCATGTTTGTTTCTCTGTTTTTCTTCTCCATCTAGATGAGTTTAGTAAAAAAATTACTAAAATGCCCTTGTTTTAATTTAGTCATATGTATGATATTAATTTTAAATATATTTTTATAATTTTGACGCGAAAATGAGTTTTTGCGGATTTAGGGGAAAAACGGGTTTTTGTGGTTTTAGTTGGAAAATGCGTGTTTTGCGGTTATAGCGGGAAACACGTTTTTGCGATTTTAGCGGAAAATACGTTTTTGCAGGAAAATGTGTTTTTCGGGAAAACGTGTTTTTGCGATTTTGGCAGAAAAAAGATATTTTTACGGTTTTGGCGGGAAAACTAATTTTTTCGGTTTTAGCAAAAACGCGTTTTGGCGGGAANGTTTTAGTTGGAAAATGCGTGTTTTGCGGTTATAGCGGGAAACACGTTTTTGCGATTTTAGCGGAAAATACGTTTTTGCAGGAAAATGTGTTTTTCGGGAAAACGTGTTTTTGCGATTTTGGCAGAAAAAAGATATTTTTACGGTTTTGGCGGGAAAACTAATTTTTTCGGTTTTAGCAAAAACGCGTTTTGGCGGGAAAACGCGTTTTTGCGGAAAAACACGTTTTGGCGGAAAAACGCGTTTTGGCAGGAAAACGCGTTTTTGGCGGGAAAATACGTTTTTCCCGTTTTCCCGGGAAAACGCGTTTTGGCGGGAAAACGCGTTTTGGCGGGAAAAACGCGTTTTGGCGGGAAAACGCGTTTTGGCGGGAAAACGCGTTTTGGCGGGAAAACGCGTTTTTGCGGAAAAACACATTTTACGGGAAAACGCGTTTTTGCGGAAAAACACGTTTTTACGGGAAAACGCGTTTTGCGGTTTTTTTGAGAAACGCGTTTTTACGATTTTGGCGAGAAAACAAGTTTTTACAGTTTTGGCGGAAAGACGTGTTTTTACGGTTTTGGCGGAAAAATGCGGTTTGATCATTTGAGGAAATGTGGTTTTGTCATGTAAGTTACAAAATAATAGTATGTTTAGATTTGTAATTTATGAATTATATAAAAGGGTATAATAGACATTATACAATTTTGGAAGAACCATCTCCATCCAAATGGTTCAAATTGGTCCATCCATGACTTCAAAATTAAACCTAAAATTTCAAAATCATCCGGATGATCCATCTAGATGAGTTGTACTTTTAGTATATAAACAAACAAAACTCTCATCTCCATCCAGATGACTCATCTGGATTGTGTGAGCTTCGACCTTCGTCCTTCAGACGCAATTAACATAGCTGTCAGATGCAAGGAATAGTTGCACTACCCTCACCAAACAATCACCGAGAAGTCTCTCCGTGAGAATTTCTTGACCGGTATTTACTTTTGAAAAATGGTGTCAATCATCACTCTTTAGGTACCTATCCAAGTGAACAAGTATCTAAGCTCAAAGAAAAAACCTGAGTCACATGGTTTACTGTATATTGAACTAGTCCGTAGACAAAAGCTCATCTACCTTGGCTTATACGCAACCAAAACTAGTACTTTATACTATATTTTTTTTCAGGCAGCTCGGAGACAAAAGTATTTGTATAATATACGTGTAAATAATGAAGAAGCCATCTAAAGTCTGTGATCAAAGTGGTGGAAGAGACGCTTGCAAATTGCAAAAGAAAAAATCTCTTTCGAGTGAGCATAGTCGTGAACTCAGTGTGATGTGTAGATGTTATATATCTTCTCTAATATCGGGAAGTAATTAAGCCTACTCTTATTAGATTTAATATTTTAATGAATGTCTACTTTATGTATATAAGATAAGATGAAAGTCTTTTATGTATATAAAGATGAGATGAAACTTGCAGTGAGATTTTAATATAATCTAAGTTCTTTGTTGAACCTGCTTGATAGTACGATTAAATTGTGTGAACTATTGGTGCTTGTGACTTTGGATTCCGTAATTGAGGTCAAAAATTAAAGAGGAAAATTAAGGAAAAAAAAGAATAATATTAAGTGGCCTGTGACATGATTGGTATAATATGTACGGTCCTGCATGTTAGAAAAAAAGGACGCATCATATCGACCTTCCACATGGTTATATGACCAAACATATGGACTCGTCTCAAGTTTCAGGTACACTTTGTTCACCTCTTTTACTTAGAAATCTGATACAATCTTCCCTTAAAATAAGGAATCGTGCATCACAATGCCGCACAACAATCGCGTTTTATTTTCTGTGAGTTGCAAATACATTGAATTAGGCTCAGCCAAGCATTAACAAAATGTGGATCGATTCTTGATATAGTACAATATGATTTGACATAACAAGAAATTTTAGCTACGCCATGTGAATTGTCTGTCAAACTAAAGTTGATCTAACCAAACTTAGAGAATATGAAAGAGGCTGTTTTTTCCAACCACAATCAAATCAATAAAAGAGGCGATTCCTTTTTTTAGATCAAATAAAAGAGGTGATTCTTTGTAATGGAATTTAACCAAATGGTACCAAGCTTGAAACGTATTTGATTCTAGTTTTCGAAATGCTTCACGTCCCGTAATTATGAGAGCTATCAAAGTTTTGGAGTACAATGGTCGGATTCACTTGCCATTAGCCATATATATATATATATATATATATATATATATACATCCAACTATGCCTATTATGTAGCCTGATATCATTATGATCAGTGGCGGATCTAGGAGAACTTTTAATCGGGAGCACAACTAAAATTTTTTAAACTAAATGGGGGTATTATCATAGAATTTGAGCTAATTACTTTAAAAAACTCAAAATTTGAACTGAATGGTTAAACAAAATCAAAAATTAGTTGGGATCACGTGACCCGTACGCCGTAAGCTACGTCCGCCCCTGATTATGATCATCTAATAATTTTTTTTAATGCAGAAGTGGTCTTCTTTGGCTCGTACTTCAGTTTTTTTTTAGAAGCCGGCGAGCGAGCAACCGGTGCTAGTTAAAGAAACATGGAATCCTCCATAGTTTAAATTTTTTTATTTACCAACTTTGTAGTTTGAATAATTCATCTTGTAATCTTGTAGCTGATGTATTGGCAAAGAAAGCTTTGAAATGAAACATCTAGCAAACCTTTTTTTAAAGATATGAAATATGATTTGTATAATTGTTAATTGTTCGATCAATTAATCTGTTGCCAAAGAAAGCTATATATTATTTGAATACCTGCATAATTGTAACTTTGCTTTAAGAGCATTTAACAGAATACAAGGGATACAAAGATTTATAAGCCACATTAAACATAAAAAGAAACACATTTCGTGAGAAGTAAGACTTTATATTAGCTTAAATAATTCCATTTATATATAACACAAGAAGAGTTGCTGACAAAAAAAAAACACAAGAAGAGGCTCATCGTCAGAACGTGAAGCAGAATGTTCACATGAAATTACTACCTCATTTAGCAATCTATTCGCGTTGGAAAATTACTTGACAGCAAAACCCACGTGGCTCACCTAAAAAATGTTTCCTTCTATTTATATTTTAAATTTTTAATAGTATGACGAGACAAAATAAATAGACCTATGGAAACGGGACAGATAGTATAGCTTGAAAAAAAATTTTAAAGTAGATGAAATATTATTTTCATAGCTTGATAATTTTGCTTGCAAGAAATTAGTAGATGAAATATTGTTCTCAGTTTCCTTTTTTTTTTGAAAAGATTTATTTTCAGTTTCGATTCTATGCAAATTCGTTTTTAGACACCATACCTGAATACCATAGACCATGTCTCTATTGTGGAACAGAGAAATAAAACGTGACAAAATTAATAATGTGTTCTCTCACAAGTATTTGTCTTAAGGAACAGTTCGAATATCATTTGCAACAATATGTTCCACGAATCATATGCCATGTGGTCCAAATGATAAGAAGTCAAATCATATATTATATATGTGTTCCATGCAACAATTGTTCGATGCAACAAGAATTAAAAATCAATATAGAATTGTGTTCCATGGAACAATTGTTAAAAGTCAATAGTGTTGTGTCACATACAGAGTATCTCTCTCTACATATCACTACAATTATAAACAAATCAATTGTTCATGGCGGATAATAAGAAAGC